CAGTTGTTTTCTTCTTTCAGGCAACCTTAAGATAAAACTCTAAAAAATAAAGTGCTTCCCCACCCCCACCCCCCCACCCCCGTGTAGCAGTGATGTTGCTATTTTGGTGGGGATAGGCTGAACTCAGTGGGTACTCTGGAGCACTCCCTGCTCTGGGCTAAGGGGTGGCTCCTCGGTGAACCTCCTGCATATAAAGCATGCACTCAGCCAGTTGAGCTATCTCTTGAGTCCCTGGAGATGTTTTGTTGCGGTTGTTACTGTTGTTCTTTGGGGGAGAGGGACCACCTGGCAATGATGAGGGCTTACTTCTGACTCTGTGCTCAGGGTTCACACCTGGAGGGGCTGGGGGTAACCATATGTGGTGCTGGTGTGTGAGTTTCAAAAATGCATGGGCGCATGGGGGACTCGAACACTTGGCGGCCAATAACTCTTCCCCTGGCCAGCCGACAGCTAAGAACAAAGGAACAGAGGGATAGGCTGGTTGTTGGTCAGTTTATTTCTCTCTCTTTCCCAACACAGTTCCATCTCTCCCCTTACAGCCAGTAATTTCTTCTCTTTCTTTTTCTCTCTCCTTACAGCATAGTTATATAGAAATCATGAAGGGTGGAGGTACACATAGGTGGGGTTGAACATTGTCAGAACAACAAGCAGGTGTAAAGTCACTCCTTCAGGAGAAGTTCCAGGAAATTAACTCAAGGACAAAATTTCATCTGAGGGTTTCGCACTCCAGATTACTAGGAGATCCACTCAGGGCAGGATTTCATTTAGGGTATATTGCTTTCTCCTTTCCTCAGCTAGTAATCCATTTAAACAATCATAGTAAATTTACTTCTTACTAATATTTCTAGTAATTTTGTATAAACACAGTAAGATATATTAAGCTTAAAGTTTGTTTTTTCCTGGGGACATCTCACTATCTATCCCGGACTACAGTCCTCAGGCCAGGTTAGTCTTTCCTAACCCCAGCAGGGTCCTTTTTCAGTCACTTCTTTTGGGGTAATGACAGAGTTTGTTCCATGACTGTTCTCTTAGCTTATTATACTTCTTGTGGCATTTAACTTGTCCCTTTCCGATGCTAGGATAGCTATCAGCTTGCCCTGGGTCCATCCTTGTCCCTCGCTGAGACCTTCTTTTTGGTGGTATAAGGAAGTAAGGGCAACTATGGCTTAAGTCAGGTAAATATGACAGATGCCCAGGAGTAAATATTATTTCAGAGTCAATTAACTCCCATGTTACAAAAGCATAGCATCAACTTGTCTTCCTGTGTCTATACAAAAAGGACATTGATAGACAAACCATGCAAATGACATAAAGAAAAGAGAAAAGTAATATAGGTACATTAGTGCCTAATGGAATTGGGTGGTGCCTCAGGAGCACCGTTGTGGGAGTAACTCAATAAACCTACGCTACCTGCAGGAGGCAAGGACAAACCAATGTTATCCAACACTGGTGATCAAACTTGGGAAGTGCACAGGAAGTACCCTACCTGTTGTACTACAGTTCTTGCCCTCTTGGTGATGTTTTTTAACATCAATTTTACTAGGTGAGCATGTTATAAATTTATAGCTTGTGTCCAATACTCCATATTTCCCTCTCCACCTGTCAGTGATGACTGTTGGAATTGATACCATTCCCTGAATTCCATAAAATGAACCTCCCATGACAACTATCTCCATATATATTACCTTGCTAGGACGTTCTATGGAATATGAATCTAAGAACTGAATTGCTAAATCAGGGGATGTGTACCTATTCTTAAATTAACCTAATACAAACTGCCCTCTCAAATTATAAGACCAGTTATATTCTCAACACCAGCATGAGGATTCCTGTTTGCTCACAGATACTTGGCATCATTCACTTTTCTAATTTTTATTAGTCTAAATCTGGGATGGGGAATTCCAACCCATGGCAACAAAAGGCATGTGAAGTCATATGGTTTGGCTGTGGGACAGGATGGGACAGAGATATGCTTCTCATAAGCTGTCCATGTCTGCCTTTACTGTAAGGCCTGGGAATAATATTCCAAACATCCAAATGGCCCCTGCAGGAAAGAAGGTCCCCACCACTGAAGTGTTTTATTTTATATTTCAAAGAGTGTTTTTTTTTTCTTTTTGGGTCACACCCAGTGATGCACAGGGGTTACTCCTGGCTCTGCACTCAGGAATTACCCTGGCTGTGCTCAGGAGATCATATGGAATGCTGGGAATCGAACCAGGGTAGGCCGTGCGCAAGGCAAATGCCCTACCTGCTGTGCTATTGCTCCAGCCCCCAAAAGTGGTTTTTTTTCATTTTTCTGATTTGTAGTGCTTGATCAATTCTTATCATTGTTGCCCTTGAATTTTCTTTTATATGTTCTCCTGTCTTAATCAAGGAAACATGGTAAAAAAAAAAAAAGGTGTTGCTTAAATACTTTTGCTTCTAGGCCAGAGTGATATCACAGTGGGTATGGCATTTGCCTTGAACAGTGTTCAATCAGGTACGCTATAGGGTCCTTGGAGCCTGCCAGGAGTGACTCCTGATCACAGACCCAGGAGTGAGCAATGAGCACAGCCGGGCCAAAACAGCAACAAAATATATAAATCTTTATGCTTTAGCTATTGATGCCCCTATCAAATTTTCTATTGGGGTTACTCTTATTATTTCCTATGAGTTCCATTAAGACTTGGATTTCACCGTGCAAGCCCCCAGTTGTCCCCCAGACGCCGGGAGACAAAGCAGATCTGAGCCTCTCTGCCTCTGCCTTTCCGCCGCCCAAGCCAAGCTGGTCTCTTCTCCCTACCCACCCAGGTCAGTTTTCCCGCCGCTTCTCGAACCTGGGACTTGGATTTCACCGTGCAAGCCCCTAGTTGTCCCCCAGACACCGGGAGACAAAGCAGATCTGAGCCTCTCTGTCTCTCCCTTTCCGCTGCCCAAGCCGAGCTGGTCTCTTCTCCCCACCCACCCAGAACCAGCCACCACCATGCTGAGACCACTCTCCACACGCACAAAGGTACTGACAGAGGAACAAAGGCATGCGGGTCCCGGGGCTGAGATCTCCAAGCCTGCTTGGATCAGGGCTGAGCATCCTTCACCCAGATCCTCCATCTCCCAGTAGGCAGGGGTCACACCCACCATCTGACCCCCTGCGCCGTTAATCCCATCAACGGCAAAGACCCAGAGACTATAAAACCCAGCTCCCAGAAGTGGACATCTTATTATCTCATTCTTACTTTGGACAATCTGGCAGGTTACTGAATATTACCTGCCCACACGGCAGAGTCTGGCAAACTCCCCGTGGTGTACCCAATATGCCAAATACCAGTAACAAATGATGGGTCTCATTCTCCTAACCCTGAAGGAGCCTTGAATATGGCACTTTTTAGAATCTCAGGGCTAGGGCGAAGGAGTTACTGGGGCCTGCTCGAGGCAATCGATGAAGAACAGGATGATCGTGATCGTGATCCATTAAGTATCCTAGATACTATTTCCTTACATTTAAGATGATTTCAAATTGGAGGCTGGAGAGATAGTTACAGCCTCTAAGGTGCTTACCTTACACACTGTCTACCTGAGGTCAGTCCCTGGCATTCCATATGGTCCCCGGACCACGGCCAAGTGTTACTCCTGAATGAAGAGCTTGGGGTAATGCCTGAGCATTGTCAGGTGTGGCCCCAAAATCCAAAGTAAATGTATTATTAAAGATGATTTCAAATTGAATTTTATTATTTAAAATCTTTTGCCAATTTAACTCTAATCCTAAAATCCTACAAAATCTCAAACGTTGTTTTTTTGCTGCAGTCACTTCAAATTTGCATTTTATGTTTTTTGAATTAGTCGACTGGGTTGTTCCACACCCTGAGGTATCTGCTATCTTTGTTTTCACTCTTTGGTAGTGCTGCGGATTGAACCCATCCTCAAACACGTGAGGTACGTGTTCTAACCCTGTATCCTCAGCCTCTAGGAATTCAAATCCAATCTTTCCCACGCACAACTTCAAACTTCCAGTGTGGCAAGGGGCTTTCCGGCTTGTTTTTAGCGCCTGTGGACCGACCGGCTGTCTCTGCTTTTACTTCTGCTTTGAGATGCCACGGATGCCTCCCGTGTCTCTCTGCCAGGTCCCCGCCCGCGACGCATTCCCAGCTACCTCAGGCAGGCAGCTGCAGGACCGAAGACTTAAGTCCTAATCATCAACTAGTCGTCAAGTCCTAGCAGCACAAAATACGCCCGAAAGGGTCTTGTCATCGAAGGAACCTGCCTTCAGGAGTGGTTTCTCGGGTGTATTTGGACAAACCCATTTCCTCCCATCCCCACATTTACGGGAGGACAGGATTGAGAAATCCCGAGCGCGCCCTTCGGTTCTCATGCTAAGTAGAGTGACCCCCGGGCCGCTCTAACACAGTGTCTCTGCGCCTGCGCCGGAGAGGCGCGCGCACGCGCACAGTCTCGCTACTCCGGCGTACTTTTTATAGTTCTGCGCATGCGCCCCATTGGCGCGCTCACAGCACTCGAGCCCGGCGCTTTTTTTAGTTCTGCGCATGCGCTCCACTTTCTTTATTTTTTTCCTGCTTTTTGGTGATGCTCAGGGGTTACTCCTGGCTCTGCACTCAAGAACTACTCCTGGTGGTGCTTTTATTTCTGTTTTGAGATGCCATGGATGCCTCCAATGTCTCACTTTTTAGTTCTGCGCATGCGCCCCATTGGCGCGCTCACAGCACTCGAGCCCGAGCCCGGCGCTTTTTTCAGTTCTGCGCATGCGCTCCACCTCCTTTTTTTTTTTTCTGCTTTTTGGTGATGCTCAGGGGTTACTCCTGGCTCTGCACTCAGGAACTACTCCTGGTGGTGCTCAGGGGACCATATGGGATGCCGGAGATCGAGCACAGGTCAGCCGCAGGCTAAGCAAACGGCCTACAACGTGCTCCACGTTCAACACGCCGTCCTCCCCTCCCCATCCTCCTTCCTCTTCCCCCCCCCCCCCCCCCGTCGTCCGAGAGGCGGGACTTCCGGTAGCTTGGCCGGAAGTGGCTGCGGGCGGATCCGCGTCGGCGCAGGTTGGCCGGGTCCAAGGTGTCCGTGCTCGCCTTTGCTCTCGAGGCCAAAGATGCCGGGTCTGGCGGCCGCGAGTCCGGCCCCAACAGGGTCTCAGGAGAAGAAGCCGCTGAAGCCTTGCTGCGCCTGCCCGGAGACCAAGAAGGCGCGCGATGCGTGGTCAGTGCGCCTCGGGGGCGGTCGGCTTCCGGAGTCGCTGCCCTGCGGGGACGCGTGCGGGGCAGCAGGCGGCGGGTCCGGCCGGACTTCCGGCCCCGGGAGGCGGGGGAGAGGCCGGCGCCCGCGCCCACCTTAAGTGCGCGCTGCCCCAGCTGGGACGTACCTGACGCCGCGCGGGGCTCGACCCTGTAGACACGGAGCCTCAGAGCCTGGACGTGGCCGGGGACGCGGCCGGAGATCGCGCCACGTGGAGGGCAGCAGGGCCGGACGTGGCCGGACACAAGCATGCACGCGTACTTCCGGCCAGGCTCTTAGATAACGGGAACGCAGGGCATACGTGGCTTCTGTATTTTTGTGTTTTTGAGCCACACCTGGCAGTTTCTTCCAGTGCTTACTAAACAGTTACCCTGAGCCTCTTTGGAGGTAGATGATTTTTCTTTTTTTTTCCTCCCCCTCCTTCCTGGCCAGAGATTGAAGTCAGGGCTACACGCGTGCCAGGCAGGTGCTCTGCCACCCAGCAACAGCCTCCCTGGCCTAGGTTTGATGTCATCGGACCCCCCGGGTGGTTCCTGTGAAGTGGGGAGGAGAAGGATCTGCTGATCTGATTTCTCCTGCTCTGCCTCTGCCACGCAGGACCCCAGGCTTGCAGGGTTCTTGTCTCGCCTGGCAGAAAGCAGTTTCGGGAGTGGACGTTGGAGGTTTTGAAGGGAAGGAGGGAGAGGAAGTGGGAGAGAGTGAAGCCTAACATGCTCGAGAGAGAGAGCGCTGGGGGGCTTCTCCAAGGCGGAGAGAGGCCCTACACACACCCCACCAGTAGGCATGAAAGTACACAGCTCAAGAGGGGAGATGCCAGCAGCGACACATGTGCTCGGCCAGCACATGTGCTTGGCCACATGGGCTCAGGCAGCATACGTCCCGCTTCCTTTGTTCAAGGTGGCCTTTATAGGGTTATTCCAATCTCTCCCCACGGGGGCTTCTAGGGTAAAAGTCCCGTTGCTAGGGAGGTTACCAAGGGAGTGGAGTTGGAAGTGGTGATGGTCTTCTTTGAAATTTCTTTCCTGGCTTTTGTTTCTGCAGGATCTCCTGTTGGAGGGGGTTGGTCCAGCCTCCTCGGGGTCTATTACAGTCTGGCACCAGTTCTCCAAGAGGTCAGGGCTATTGCTTCCCAGGAGATTGACTGCCATTGCCTTGGGAAGGGACCTTCCCGATCTGCCTGCCTACGTCAGGCATTCCTCCCCCCCACCCTCCCGCCCGCCTTTTAGGGTCACCCGGCGTTGCACAGACGTTACTCCTGGCTCATGCACTCCTGGAATTACTCCTGGTGCTGCTCAGGGGACCATATGGGATGCTGGGAATGGAACCCAGGCCAGCCACGTGCAAGACAAATGCCCTACCCGCTGTGCTATTGGCTCTAGCACCGCAGGTTGATGGTTTTGCAAGTTAGATGATTCAGTATTCAGATAGTCACCTACAAGAAGTTTTGTCCTCGTTTTATACGGCTTCTGTTGTGGAACAAAATTCTTTAGAGAATTGCTTCTGTGGTAACAGTATTGTATTCCATCTTCCAATAGTTGGCTATGAAAGAGCCTGGGGTCCAGAGTGCGTTTTACAGCTGCAAGCAAATGATTAAATATACTGTCTCCTGCAGGAGGGCTTTGCCAGTGTGACTCCAGGGTTACTTTTAGCATTAATGTTAATGACCATTCACAAGTATTGCCTCTCACAGTGTTTGCAGCATTCAGTACAGCACCAGGGACACACTATCTGGGTAGTCTGTTAAATTTGAAGAGTCATCTCAGCTACTGAATGGTGTAACTGGAACAAGAACTTAGCTGTCTTTTTTTTTTTTTCATCAATTGCTTTAGATATCTACAGTTTCTCTTATAGGTAACTGTAGTCAGGAATCAGGTAGCTGTTTTTGATCCATTCCCCCTAGTCTCCTGCTGTGGCCCCCTAAGAATATCCTGGGGTTGGGAAGAGGAATGTGAGGGGAGGGGAAGAGAAGTGGCTTGAATGCTGGTTTAAAGGTAGTATCCAATCTACATAATTAACTCAGTTACCACCACCACCTGGGCCGCTTATCTTTGGAACATTTTTATGAGTATGGAAATAGAGCACGAGCCAATAAAAGCAGTCACTTGGTGTAAGAACATTTCAATTTTTATTTTATAAAGTAGTTTACAATATTCAAACAACAATCCCACCACCATTACACCTCCCCACCACCATACTTGGCATGTTTCCATCCCAAACCCTAATCCCTGCCCCAAAGCAGAACCGAAATAATATATTCTGTATTGTTTGTTATGAAAAATTTGCTGAGAATACTAGAAAAAAGTATCCTTAGAGGAAAGAGTATGAGGATTGTTGTGTTTCACCCAGGGCCTATTAAGCCTTTCTATGAGAGATCACTAACATGTTAAAGGTTGACCCTTGTGTTTTTTTGATATATATATATATATATATATCCCTTTAAAAAAAAGTATATTTTCTGCTAAGATTGGTTGCCTCCTGTTTTGAACCCTGTCAAATTTGGTGCAGTATTCCTGGAGTATTCCTGTTCTGTTATTAGTCTATGGGTTTGTTTTCGTTGAATATTACCTATTCATTTTCTTTGTTTCTTTATACACTACATATGAGTGAGACCACCCAGGTATTTGTCTTTCTCATTTGATATATTCTGCTTATCATGATTTCTTAGAGTTACATATATGGAGTGATAGCACAGCGGGTAGGGCGTTTGCCTTGCATGCAGCTGATCCGGCTGACTCGGGTTCGATTCCTCTGCCCCCTCAGAGAGTCCGGCAAGCTACCGAGAGTATCTCGCCCGCACAGCAGAGCCTGGCAAGCTCCCCGTGACGTATTCGATATGCCAAACACAGTAACAACAAGTCTCACAATGGAGACATTACTGGGCTAGCTTGAGCAAGTTGATGAACAACAGGACAGTGCTACAGTGTTATTCCTGGAGTGGGCTGGAGTGATAGTACAGCGGGTAGGGCGTTTGCCTTGCACGTGGCCGACTCGGGTTCGATTCCTCTGTCCCTCAGAGAGCCCGGGAAGCTACCGAGAGTATCTTGCCTGCACAGCAGAGCCTGGCAAGCTCCCCGTGGCGTATTCGATATGCCAAAAACAGTAACAAGTCTCACAATGGAGACGTTACTGGTGCCCACACGAGTAAATCAATGAACAATGGGAGGACGGTGCTACAATCCTGGAGTGTGGGTAGAGTATTTGATCCGAAGTATCGCCCGGCTGCATTTGTGGCCTTACGGTCCAGGAATAGATGCACTTGTGGGTGAGGCTCGGCTGGACTGAGTTGTGGAAGATTTTGGCTGCCGGGGCGGGCAGGGGTCGCACCCTCGTCCCATCCCGCCGGTGTGCCAGGAGTGAAACAGCCTTGTGCTGGGTCATCATGTTGCTTCCTTCTGGGAGAGAAGGATGTGTAATCTGGATGATGGTCAATGACGTGATTGTTTGGTGCCAGCCAGCGGTGGGTTCTGGGCGTGACTGCTGAGTCCCTGGAGACGGGGGTGTGGGTAGAGGATCTCCACACCAGGTCCCATGGAGACTAGGAACTTTTATTTTTTTAAATAAAAACTTGAACTCCTGCTACATTTCCTCAAACCCATGTTCTGCCTCATTCTTGTCACTCACGTAATATTTATTTACTGCTAGTGTTCTTAGTGCCTACTTTGTTTAATAACATGGCATTTATTTTTACAGCATCATTGAGAAAGGAGAAGAACACTGTGGACACCTGATCGAGGCCCACAAGGAATGCATGAGAGCCCTGGGATTCAAGATATGAAACGGTGAGTCTGTTACTTTCAGATTTGGGGGAGGAACCAATAGGCAATGGCTTCCAGTATATACTGGAAGATAACATGTTTTACAGATCACTGTCAATATTAAATCTATGAGGTAGGTTATCCCGTTAATCTAACATGGTTAACTGTCACTGAAAAATACTGATTTTAATTATTCCCTAATGTAGGGAGAAAAAGATGCTAATAAATTGAGTTACGCGTTGGATTTGGGAAGGTGAGAACACGAGCTTTAGCAAATAAAACTTGTGAGCACCACAACCAGGCTTATGTGCACCCCCTAAAATCATTGTAGTAGCAACAGCAATGAAGGGAAGCGGGGTGGATGGAGCTAAGAAAATTAAATTAGGGCCAGGGATGTGGCGCAGCAAGCCATGTGCCTGACCCACACACAGGAACCCCAGAGCACCTAGGTATATTCCTCCCCTGAGGCCTGAGCGCGCCTGAGCGTTAAACTCTCCAGCTCAGCCGTATTGCCAGGACATGGCTTTGGAGGCAGTTTCCCCAGACTCCTACTTCCCCTCCCAACACCTGCCCCATGCAGTAAAAAGAAAGCAAATGAAAGGGACTTTCTGCAGCAGAATTAGAAAGAATCATGGAATTGTCCTGTGGGAGGATTAAACTCAATTGTCTGAATTAAAGAAAAATACTCTTTTTTTGTGTGTTTGTTTTTAATGTTGAGGGACTTAAATAGGAAGGAAAAATGTTCTGGAAAAAAAAAACCCATGGGATTGGTACCATTTCTTTTGTACCAAGCTATTTTATTATAAAACTAACGCTTGGAGAGCCAATTTTTATTGACATGCTTGACATTCTGTGGTTTACAATACTATTAATAATGGTTTCTTAGCCAGATTTTTTAAGAAGAAATTTTAATTCAACTTTTAATATTTTTGTTTTGTTTGGGGGCTGCCACAGCTGATGGTGTTCAGGGCTTATTCCTGGCTGTGCACTCAGGGACTCCTATGGGATGCCGGGTTGCTGGGGAATCGAGCACTAGTCAGACAAGTGCAAGGCAAGCACCTTAGCCCTGTACTATCTCTCCAGCTCCTGAGTACCACAAATGTGACAGTCACTTGAAAGCTCTTTTCAGAGTGATTTTGCTCATTTCCTCACTTCGTTCAGTTCTCTGTTTAAAAAGTTTCCTTAGGGAAACATTCCAACACTACATGCAAATAGCATCCCTTCCCTATCACCTAGCAATGTCTAATGGAATGTTTTAGTATCTGTGATAATAAGAATATCCTGTACCTTCACTCCAGTATTATAGCCACCTACTGTACTATCTCTCAGGCCCCTTTTGGTTTAAGTTTAATTGCTAGTGGTTGCTAAATACCATCAACTATGCCTGATGTATTTATCATCTGCATTGCTGTACTCCACTTAGAATGTGATTTTCAGAGAGGAACTTCGTGTTTCTCTCCTTGTCATATGCCCAGAACTTCCACCTGACACATAAAAGAATCAGTAATTTAGTGAATGAATGCAGAAGAAACTACGCTCTCTAATGGTATAAAAGGACTCCAGCTCCATCTGGGTTAGGTCAGAACCAGAACATTCCTCTAGGCAAACTTCCTTTGTTCTCACCTCCGCTTTTTAGTTGGGGGTGTAGGGTGTCCTAACTGGTGCTCTGGGGGCTTGGGAAGTGGGGGTGATTCTTAGCTAACCCAGTGGGTGCTTTAGTGTTAGGGTCCTGTGGTTCTGGGTTCCATTTGGTGCCAGGAATCTTTAAGGTGTGTTTCTTAGTTCTTGTACTATCCAGCCCCACTTTTTTACTTATTAGTGCAAAGCCATTGTTTTACCAATATAATAGTGATACAGACTGACTTCTTTCTAGTTTATCTGTTTTCCTGGCTCTTTGGAATTTCACAAATGCTGTTTTTCTCATTGAGCTGTAAAAAGAAAAAAGGGAGGGTGGTAAAAAACTTGTTTTGGACTGATGAGTCTCCGTGTAGTATAGTGGAAGCTGTCTAGGCTGAAACCCTTCAGCTTAGTTTTAGCGTTCCTGAGAGCTAGCTTATCATGTTCATCGTAGCTACATTCAGTGTTGGTGGAGGACTTAATCCACTCTAGAGTTTTACTTTTTTCTAAAAGAGAACAATGATGTTTTGGGATTGCTTCTATTATAGGCACACTGATAATATGGTAATATTACTACAGCTACTCTGTATACACACATAAGATAGTACAGCCGAGATAGTACAGCAGGTAAGGTATAGGTGATGCCTTGCACACGGCCAGTCCAGGTTCGATCCTTGATATCCCTTATGGTCCCCAAGCCCACCAAGAGTAATTCCTGAGTGCAGAGCCACAAGTTATCTCTGAGCATCGCTGGGTGTGCCCCAACAAAAAGACTTCGTCTTTTAAAAAGCCCAGGGTGCGTCATTCTGCAAGATAAATTTAGGGAGGGGCTATGTTCTTGAAAAGTATGCCTACTGATTATTTCTAAAGACAGCGTCTCAGTCGTTGTAGTTGTAGTTTCTATGTACAAAATTATAGAAATCTCTTCCAAATCACATGTATAAAGCTGGTGTTTAGGAGTGAGCCTATGTTGAGAAGTGTGGATTTTTTAGGAGCAATAAAATTTATCTTTGATTTCCTATGGGCCTCAGAGTTGGCATAGTTGTACGGAGCATATTCTCATAGGACTAGACAATACCAGAGTTACATTGGGCCAGAGTAAGTAATTCCTGCTTCCTGCTTGACCACTTCATTTGTGTTTTTGAAAAAATGTGGAGAAGATGCCAAAGCTTTAGACTTAGAAATCCTGATACTTAACTGATTGCATTACCTTGGGTTGTTCCTTAACTTTCTGAACTTTCTCCTCATCTATAACGAGATAATGGCACTTGCCTTTCAAACAACTTCCAAGGGTTGGGGATATTAAGTGACTTCTGTATGAATAGATTTTGTAAATTGCAAAATAGAAAGCAGAACAGAATACCTGTATCTTGGGCGTAGTGGATCGCAGATGTGCATGTGCAGTGTGTTGATGATATGACTCGATTATGTGCTTTTGAATCCTACTTACAAGAATAGCCTGATCTTTAGAGTACCTTTCTCAGAATTGAAACCGTAATGTTTTAGTTTTCAGGATAATACTTTGGTAAGAGGAACAAGAGTTTGATCCCCCATTGGCTTCCCCTTTGTCATGCAGAAATGCAGGAATAATAAGTTAGTTAAAAGACTTCAAGTGAAAAGTGGCTCAGTGGTAGAAATAAAATCAATATATCAGACTGGAGAGATCGTACAGGGAATGGTCAGGCTCCTGCTTTCCTTCCATGCAGCTGAACCAGGTTCTTACTGTCACTACTTATGGTTACATGAAAGCAGACAAGGAGTGATCCCTGAAAAGAGCCTCTTCCCCCCAGCAAAATAAGAGAAACTAGGTCTTTTCCATTTTCCATTTCTTCGGCACTTTACACATCACTCTCTTCACGTAGTAAGATTTTATGTTGCCAACGTAGTCGTTTTTAGAATTGCTTGTAGTTTTGTTTTTTTTTTTTTTTTAATTTGCCCTACACTCAACAATGCTTGGGGTCTACTCCTGGCTCTACACTCAAGAATTACCCCAGGCACCACATTTTGGACCACATGGATGCCTGGGATATAACTCTAAGCCAAGTGCAAGGCAAGCTCCCTACCCATTGTACTATCTCTCTGGCCCCAAGGCTTGCTTGTATGTAGTCTTGATTGCTGCTTTTAAGGTAGGGGTGCGTACCCAGCAGAACTCAGGGCCGCTCCCAGTGTGGTGCTTAGGTGCTCTGTGATGCTGGGATTGAACCCAGGGTTCCCACATGTAAAGCATGTACCTGCAGCCTTGAACCTTCTTGCTATCCCTGTGGCTACTTCTAGTACTGAAAATCTGAGGACCCTGCTTAGAAATACAAAGAAAGGACAACCGGTATCTTTTGGACTTGAGGAGTCAGAAGAAAACTGATGGACCCAGTCTGGAGACTAAAATGATTGAAAAAAGTGCCAGCGCTGAGCACTGGCTATTACTGGTATTATGCTTTACTGAATTTAATGTTAAGATATGCTCATTTTAGACACGTAGTATAAGTGACTATTGATGAAATACAGTTCCAAGAAAAAGAAACAAGGTCATTCTGCTGTTCAAACTTTTGAATAGTAATGCCAAGATGAGTACCATAGAGAGGAATCAGGAGTCTTTCCGCAGGAGGCTCCTGTATGCTGTGGACCTGAGAGGTGCTACAGCTGTTCTTCTGAAATGTTGAGTGGCTTTGTGTTGGTTTATCTTGCTTTGCTGCTGTTTTCTTTTGGGGGGATGTGGGGCCCACACCCTGTGTGCCTAAGGCTCTGCTGAGGGGTTGCTCTTGGTGGGACTCAGACCATATGGGGTGCCAGGGATTGAACTTGGGCAGGTTGTATCAAGGCAAGTGCCTTAACCCCTTTCTCTCTCCCCGTCCCCACTGCCATGGCACAGAGTGCGGTGACTGAGTGAAACATATCTCGTTTAGCATTGTTTATTTCAGGATAGGAACACGGAGAGGAGGGGGTGAGGATTATCCTGAGAGAAGCCTGATACTGACTTACTTGACCTACAGCCCACTTGCCACCTTTTCTTTTCCTTTTCGGTGTTTGGGCCCCACTTGGTGGTGCTCGGGATTGAGCAGCACCGGGTCAGCTGCAGGCGAGACAAGCTCCTTACCCCCATACTCTCCCTCCGCTTCCCCACCCCCCTACTCCCCCTTTCTTGGTTAAGTCATTTGAGATCTCATGTTATGTGAAACATATTTCAATCACGGTCACGGTCCTCCTGTTGCTCATCAATTTGCTTGAGCGGGCCCAGTAACATCTCCATCGTGAGACTTGTTGTTACTGTGTTTGACTTCTTGTTACTGTGTTTGGCATATCGAATACGCCACAGGGAGCTTGCCAGGCTCTGCCGTGTGGGCGAGATACTCTCGGTAGCTTGCCGGACTCTCCGAGAGGGGTGGAGGAATCGAACCTGGCTCGACCGGGCTGGCTGCGCGCAAGGCAAACGCCCTACCGCTGTGCTGTCGCTCCAGCCCGTGAAACATTTAGTAATATTAAATACATTAGCATGTATTTCCCACAATGAAAAATATACTGCAGCTATATTATATATATACTTTATATATCAAGTCTCACGATGGAGATGTTACTGGGCCCACTTGAGCAAATCGATGAACAACGGGAGGACCATGACCGTGACTTTATATATAATATAAATATATACTTTAGCATTGAGTACAACAATCTAAAATAGGGTCCATATTTAAAAATGTTTAGTTATTATTATAATGCTATATACAAAGCAAGGCAAGTTCTCTACCTGCTGTACTATCTCTAGCCCCCACTTGCTACTTTTCATTTTTCTTAATGGATTTCAAAAGTTACCTTTACTGTGCCCTTGGCATTAAATAAGTAACTCCACAGGAAGTGCCAATTTTGAATTAGCCAGGATTAAAAGTCTCTTCACTAGTGAAATTTTTACTAGAATATCTAGTGAAAATAAACCATCTTAACTTTGGGTGAAGGGATGCTTTAGTTTGGGGTGGGGGTGTTTGCATTTATATAATTAGTAGCTTGTCTTTAGGAAAAGTAGACTTGAAAATTTTATCTTCTATTTCATGAGTAACAATTTTTTTTGTTTTTTTAAGAATATTTGTGACAGTTTGTTAAGAGTACTTAGCTTGATTGAAGCATTTATTTCTAGTGGTCTTAATCCTGTAACTTCATAAGTCTGGCATAATCTTTTTGAAGTCTGAGTTCCTAAACTAAATCTCTTTTTGTAGGTGGTCTGCTCTGAATGAATGATTCCTGAAGAAAGAAGATTGAATAATTTGGGGAGTTCTTTGATGCACTTTAACATATGGAAAAAAATGTATTTATAATTTATTAAAAAAAAAAGGAGGGAAATATCCCTGGTCAAAAAATGTTCATGTGTGTTTCCTTTTGTGTTGTTAGTGTCCTCACATAACATTTACTTTTTTAAAAGGGTATAGTTTAACAAATCGTATTTTCTTACATTCTTGTACCTTTCTGCGGTCTATGGATGTTTTTCATAAGCCAAAGCAGAAAATTAATTTCACCCAGTGAAATTTGGTACATGGAAGAAAATAACCCTTTACCAATTAAGAATAAGTATAGTTGCCTTCGTGCCTCATTCGGGGGGTTGGTTTCTGTTTGTGGGCCACATCTGTGTGTTTCAGCTCTTCTGAGCCCTGAGCTTTGGGCAGGGGTGGAGGTTGCTCTGGGTGGCTCAGGGGAGCGTACAGTGCCAGAGATCTGGGCTGGGCCCCCTGCACGCAGCACTTGTCCTCAGCGGGTTGACCTATGTCTCCAGGACTGTTTAATTTTTAACTTTCTTATAGGCAAGAACCAGCCAAGCCTTGGGTCTTAGTATTTTAAATCATTAGTATCATTCCTTTTTAATTTTGTCCTTTTTAATTTTGTCTTTTGAAAATAGTTTCTTTAGATTTTGGACTGCTTTGGGGAACCTTGCCTTCGAGGACTTCACCTGTTTGGCATAATTCATCTACATTTGTCTGCTACATTTTGGATTTGAGTAGGATCATAATTTCAGTGCCGTGGAGCCAATATCTCAAAAGTCCATTCTTCCTTAGTGCTTACTGTTAGGCACATTGTGTGCATAATCACCATAATTCACTAACTTTTGGGGGGGGGGTGTTGGCAAGGGAATCTGAGGGGGTGGACTATATCTGGCTTATTGTGACTGCGGAGGAGCTGTCCCTGGAGTTGCGTGGGGGTCTTGAGTTCTGGTAGGAACCTAACCTGTTTGGCCACATGCAAGGAAAGATCAGCTGTCACACCCAACAGCTGTCCTCCCGTTGTTCATCGATTTGCTCGAGCGGGCCCAGTAACGTCTCCATTGTGAGACTTCTTGTTACTGTGTTTGGCATCTTGAATACTCTCGGTAGCTTGCCAGGCTCTCCGAGAGGGGCGGAAAAATCGAACCCGGCTCAGCCGGGCTGGCTGCGCGCAAGGCAAACACCCTACCGCTGTGTTATCACTCAACAGCATAACCCTTAAACTACTTCTACTCTTTCTCCTTACTGGTTTTTTTTTTTTTTTTGGTGGCTGGGGGTGGTGGGGCGGAGGGTGTGGTGTAAGGGGGCACAAAACTGTTGGAACTCAGGGGCTGCTCCATGCTCTGTGCTTTGGGGTCTTTCTTGGCAGTGCTGTGATGATCTTACAGTGCCAGGTATGAAACCCAAGCTCATGGCATGTTGAATTTACTTTCCAGCCGCTCCCAATACTTAATTCATAAGTACATTTGTGCTCTAATTAGAACATCCGTCTTCACTTTGCCTTGAAAGTTGATGAAAAGAGGAACAGTCCTTGGGCAAGACCTACCCCAGGATATTTACACATCTCCCAGTTGTGATGTGAGGCTAATGGTACAGCAGTCTCCACTGCACATGTAAATACAGTACTCAGGTTAAAGAAATTGCCCTGGTTAATGAGGACCTAAGACTGGGGTCTTGATCGTTAGGGTTCAAGTTCTGTATTCTTTGCTGTACCAAGGTACCTAAATAAATATTCATAGCAGCACTTTTCTTACGATTCAGAGTGAAGAAGTCCAGTTTGTTCGCAGAAATGCCCTGGGTTGAGTATTCATGTGAGTAATAGGCATACATCCTGTCCTCAGCAAGTTGGCTCAGTTTTTATTGAAGTTACCCTACACCAATTATGTGTTGGGAAGAAATGAACCCTGTTCGAAGCTTAGAGTCTAGAGTGTATACGTATGTAATGTGCATATGAAGTTGAATTCTCTTGTAATACATATTCTACAATTCTTTTCTAAAAAGCATGCATGACTTCCCAGTGTTCTGTTAGTCTGAAAAATCTGCTAGATAGGGGCCAGACTGATACAAAGCAGGGTGCTTGCCTTGCCCACAGCGTCCTGGTTTAATCCCCAGCATCCCGTGTGGTTCCCTGATCCCTCCCAGGATGATTCCTGAGTGCAGAGCGAAGCTTAAGCCTTAAGCACTGCCTCCTCGCCTCCACAGAATCTTCTAGATGGTAGATCAACACTGTAACAGACATGGTGTTTTTGACAGGCAAAGGTAAAGGTAAAGGCCCTCCCGTTGATCGTCGATTTGCTCGAGCGGGCCCAGTAACGTCTCCATTGGAGACTTTGTTGTTACTGTGTCTGGCATATCGAATACTCTCGGTAGCTTGCCGGGCTCTCCGAGAGGGGCGGAGGAATCGAACTCGGGTCGGCCATGTTGGCTGCTTGTAAGGCGAACGCCCTACCGCTGTGCTATCGCTCCAGCCCTTTTGACAGGCAAGTAACAAAAAACTCTCAAGGAACACCTACATAACTCAACGTTGAAACTTAGGCTCTCAGTATCATAGGCTCAGTGGTGCCAACCAGGACTCAGGCTTTTCATCTCAGAGCTCTTGTCTACAACCAGTGAAGTCAGTCTTGTGTTTGTTTTTGTTCAACTGAAGAGAAAAAGGCATGATTTTTTTGCTTAAGCCAAATTAGATTGTGTATTTATAAACCAATACCCGTTGTTGAGTCTCTTATGTTGATTGGCTTACACAGGATCCTCCTACCCGACCTAATTCAGGATCAAATTAAGTTGTTTCAGAGAGGAATGGGTGAGTAGTTGACCAAATTCCCACCCAGACATCTTGTTCAATTAATGGAGTCATTCTGAATGGTTGAGTGGAGTCTAGAAGATCAATTCCCTCATATTTGAGTCAAAATTTTGAGAAAATTCTTGGTAGAACATAACTTGATTGATGTTTAGTGTTTATTGAATTAAACAATCTTCAGGTGTTTATAGATAGAAAGGGTCCTTGAAGAACAGCCCTTAGAATTGAATCTGGATATAGTCAACTGCAATTCCCAGAAAAACCAGCTACAGAGGTTGGCTCACCCTGGAGCCTGAGGGTTGAAGGTTCCCTCAGGGAAGTTTGGATTACGACTCAGTAACCCTCTGGAGAACTGGGAGGATTGTTGTGCTCTTTATTTTCATTCTCAGATATAATATCTCAGAGCTGTGTCCCTTCAGGCATCACATTGTCGCCCAACTCTTCAGCTGAGATGAAAGTGGTTGGCTCTATTGTTTCTGACAGTCAACTTTGCCCTGGAAGTTCTCCCCGACCCCGCCCTCACAACTCATTGGCCACATGTCCACCCTTGGCCTGGTCACCAGAGAGGGCAGTGAATTTGTTTCTCCTAGGCTTCTTTCAGGTTCTAACAACTGGGAGAGAAACCTACCTACCTTCACAAATCACCCAGCAAAATAGAAGATCCAACAAGTAGGAGAAAAGCTACCGTGTGTCTGCCAAAGATCAACTTGGCAGTATGTGTCCAAACTAAAGCCCTGCCTCTGTGGTATTTCAGTGTCTGTTTAGGAAATCATTAATCTCAAGACCAGTGTTTCTCTAACTCTAGGAGGTAAATTAGCATTATTTTTCTAATTTACAGACCAATATTTGGAAAAATTTAAAAAAAAGTTTTATAGTCTATAGAGCCAGAAAGTTAGTTAAGTAGAAAGATAAGAACTTGCTTTACCTGTTACAGACCCAGGTTCAATCCCCAGCACTCCATACAGTCCCCTGAGCCCAGAGTAAGTCCTGAGCACAGCAGGGTTTGGCCCCAAAACCAAAATTGAAAGTCTCTACAAGCCCAAAGTTTTGTAGCTCCCCTTTATAAGCTATTCCTGGTTACTAGAACGTACTAGTACAAGTAGTACAAATACATAGTAATGCAGTTTTGTTTTACTTCTGGACTTTGCTTCATTTTTTGTTCTCACTTCCAAGAATGCCTTCCCCTCGCTACGAATCGCCTACACATCAAGCCACCTCAAATGTCACTTTCCTGGTGGTGTTTTTCCTGAATACCTTGTACTCCACCTCTCTCAGGACTTGTTTTGGGACACAGTATTCTCTTATTCCTGGATTGCATTATCTCTGAGGGTGCTCACTGAGAAGTTTCTTGAGAGTCTTGCCCATCTTTCCGTTGCATCTTCCTAGTGCACGTGTCTTGTCTTTACCCTCAATACTTACTGAATTGAATCAAGTGAACAAATGATGTGACTTCAGTATCTCTCCTTTCACACCTCCCAGATAATTTCTACAGTGCTTCTGCCTGCAAGTTTGTGTATTTCCTTACACAAACTTGCAACTTGATGTACCCATTTCTCTTTTCTGTATTTAAAACCAAGATACAACCAACAGGTTGGATGGATAGTATGTGGGGTAAGGTGCTTGCCTTGCATTCAGCCAACCCTGTTCTGTCCCCAGCACCTAATGGTCCACCAAGCACGACTAAGAATGACTGAAGCACGGAGCAGTGAGTGTCCACCAAGAACTGTTAGTTGTGACCCAGAGACTAACCCCCACCACCCAAAGCAAACTGGAAGCCCCCCCACCTCAGCACTTAAGGCACAGTTTTCAGTTGTATTCCCATTCCAGATCCTGTCCTGCGGTCTCATGTGGGGCTTGTGACGCCACTCGGTATCCGTGAATCCATCAAGCAATAGATGAGCCTGGACCTATACAGAATCCCCCTGCAGTGCCTCACAGCTGGACACCACCGTGACCTGGACTTGAGTCTTAATTTATGGAATAGCTCTGTGACCTGTGCAAGAACCTTAACTTACTCTGTGAGCCTGTTTCTTTCCCTAAAAAAGAATTATGTATTGACACATAAAACTGCTTTCCTGAAGTTTCACAGTACTATAATGGTAAATTTTTAAAAAATGTTAAAATGTTATTATGGGATGGCACGAGGAAACCATAGCAGCTTGATGATGTTAGCGTCCTGTCCTCAGAGGAACATAGGATCCACAAAGAGCAGTGGACACAGGAGTCAGCGGGCTGCTGTCTCTTTAAAGGGCCAGTTAGTTCAGCAGGCTTTGAAACTCTATCTCTGGCAAAGCCTTGGTTGCTTCTGTACTTCTGATTTCCTTCTCGCTGGCAGGAACATCCCATCTGGCAGCTAAGGGGATGCATGACTCAGGTGGAGGGAGGTGCAGCTGCTGTGTGGGGAGGTGGGGGGTGGGGAGACAGGTGACATCAAAGCCACATATGGAAATCCCCAAACTCTACTGCTCGGGCACCAAGTGTCCAGATCATTGAAGGGTGGGGTGCTTTCCCTTCCAGGCCCTCTCTAGCTCTGACCCACTGGAATTCCTCTCTTTAGGAGGGAGTGAGATTTATTCATCATCAGCGTTTTCACTGCTAATAAAACAAATTGGCTTTCTCCACTTGCCAGGTGTTTTTATAAGTCTGCCTCCACCTCTGCTGTCTTACCACTAGAGATCCTCACCTCACTCTCCCTACTTAGTAAATTCGACCCGTACATCTCAAGTCAAATATTCCTTCTTACATCCTCACTCCCCAAGGCCACCCTTCCTTCTAGGCTGCTGCCTTCCCATAAATGTCAGTCACTGCCACTCATACACTATTGCCACTGTTTCCTTGAAGTATATTTCCTTTGATAGAGAAAAGTCTTGGGAATCCTGTAGCTGCTTAGACATAGGTGCTCAGTACATATTTGTTGAGGCTCTGGTTTCAATGCCCACAAAGAAATAGGGAGAAAAAAGAAAGAAAAAGACAAAAGAAAACCTTTGAAATTTTTCTACTCCTTAGGATATTTGACAGGGCTGGAGCGATAGCACAGCGGGTAGGGCGTTTGCCTTGCACGCAGTCAACATGGTCGACCCGAGTTCAAACCCCAGTTCAATTCCTCCGCCCCTCTCGGAGAGCCTGGCAAGCTACCGAGACTATCTTGCCCGCACAGCAAAGCCTGGCAAGCTACCCGTGATGTATTCGATATGCCAAACACAGTAACAAGTCTCACAATGTTATTGGGCCCGCTCGAGCAAATCGATGAACAATGGGAGGACAGTGACAGTGACAGGATATTTGACACTTTCTAATTTCTCATTCATTTTAGTTAGGTTGTTCGCAACTTAATAAAAGTTCTTACCACATACATTGAGTATGTAAGTAGTTCTGAAGGTTGCTGTTTCCTTTCCTTCAAGTTCTCACTCCCTTATTGCAGGGGCAGAGAAAGAATGGCAGCAAGAGCTAACCCGAAGCTAGAGAAAGAGGCACTGGGATGCCGAAGGGACATTTCTCAGTTTTCTGTCTGCACATGCTGATGTTTTTCCTTAGTGATTCAGGATCATCCTGAAGTTCCATGGACCCCTGTATCTGAAGTCATGGGGGTTGGCAAAGTAGGGGCAGGAGAGTGTGGGGTTGGAATTCATGGGTCTAGGCCTGTATTCCCATTCACTGTTCCACTTACTAGTTAAGAGACTGGTAAGTCAGATGGTCTTGAGTTCAAATGTGGGGGGAGCTTACTATCTCTCTGGGTAACTTACTTTCCGATCTAGAAGGATAAAACACACACACACACACACACACACACACATATATACACACACACATATACATATATATAAACAGATGTTTAACAGGTGGCAGTTTTTGATTGGCAAATATTGGGGTGCGTAATGATCCGAACAAAGTATTGCCGTTGTGTAAACTACTTTTGGATTCAGTATGTTAATGGGACCATTAGCTTGGAATTTTCAAAGTTGCTTTGCTTAATGGGTACCAAATAAATGCGTCGTGACATTTGTAGCATGACTTAAGAAAGGTCTTCGGAGGCGGGGGTTTCCAGTTCTCACTATTAGGATTTTTTTTTTCTGATAATAGTCCCATACTTTCCTACTTTGAGGTGTCTTCTTTCCTCAGGAGAACCCCAGGCCCTTTCCACAGGGCACTCCAGACAGTTCTGTGATCAGTTCTGTGCGTGCTTTTCCTTCAGCTCCCGCTCCCCTTCCCTCCACCCCTGCTCTTGCCCGAGTCTTTTCTTGCCCTCCAGGGAGCTGTGTTAAGTGCGCTGCCAGCTTGCCTGTGTGCCTGGTCTGTTTTTCCTCACTGCCAGTACCTCTTGGATTCCAATTCCAAACATGGTATCCATCTGGGGTCACCCTTTCTTCCGGTGCCAAGGGAGGCGCATTCCAAATGGAACACAAGTGTGCCTGGCGGCTGGGCTCTCCCCATTCCGTCCGGGACAGCAGGGAGCAGGATGTGGCCGACTTAGCCCTCAAGGGTGCAAGCGTTCCGGTCTGTCTGCTTCGTTTCTCTTTGGAATCCTGCGAGGTTTCCTGCCAAGAAGCAAAATTGAGAACTGTCAGAAGAAACTGAGAGCTGCGGAGCCTCGCCAGAGCTCTGCGTGGAGGCCCAGGGCTCTGCCCAGCGCCAAGTTGCTCAGTTCTCCATGCAGTGTGCCATGCTCTGCCAGTCTGTCTCCTCGCTCCCGGGAGCGCCCCTCCCAGGGAAGGCAGAGCTGCAGGTGAGAAGCCGGAGGTGAATAGGCGACTCCGTTGGCCGAACTTGCTGTGTGAGAGCAGGATGAGGACCTGACAAGGCTTGGAGATACCCCTCACACACACTCCCCGAAGGATGAGTGACAGCCGTGGCCTCGTGGGCCAGCTCCTCCGGCAGGGGCCCGTGTGCAGTGGCTGGAAGCAGGATGTGGAAGGGGCTGTCTACCACCTGGCCAACTGCATCTTGCTTCTGGGTTTCATGGGGGGCAGCGGGGTGTCTGGCTGCTTCTATGTCTTTGGCTTCCTGGGCACAGGCTACCTGTGCTGTGTCTTGTGGGGCTGGTTAGACGCCTGTGGCCTGGACATCGTCCTCTGGAGCTTCCTGCTGGCCGGGGCCTGCCTGTTCCAACTGGTCTACCTCATCTGTGGCCTGCGCAAGAACAGGCTCTCTGATGAGTTCGATCGCCTCTACAGGACTCTGTACCTGCCCCTGCAGGTGCCCCTGCAGGCCTACAGGGAGATTGTTTACTGCTGCAAGGAGCAGGTCCTGACTCTGGCTGCTGGGCAGACGTATGCCATGGAGGGCGAGACGCCCATTGACCGCCTGTCCCTGCTGCTCTCGGGCCGGTAAGCCATTCTCGTGTGCTGGCCCCACTGCCCCTTTCCATGTAGAGGTTCCCTCCGTGGAGGTCAGGATGCGGCACTGTCAAACCAACCCAAACAGATTTTTCTCAGAATGGGCTGGCTTCCTCTTAGTGTTTTCCAAGGGGAAACTGGATCTCACGAGGCATCTCATTTGTGGGAAGGCTTGTGCGTGCATAGGCTGTGCTGAGGCGTGAGGGGAAGTTGCTTCTTAAAGCCCATGTCTACAAGACCTCCAGCCTTTACCTGGAACCGGGTGTCTGTGCATTTTGGGAAATGGAAGCTTTCCATAAGATTAACTTGTTCTTATAACACCAAGTATATACAGGTAACTGTGCTAAAACAAGTGAGGCCTTCTCGGAACCCCTACTGCCTGCCCGGGCATGAAGGGAATCGCTCCAGTTGTGTTGGATATGTCTTGCACAGGACTCTAGATTTTGAGGGTGTGTCTTGGCAGAACAATTGCCTTATATGTGTGAAGCTCTGGGTTCAATTCCCACCCACCCCCTCAAAATTTTTTTTAAAAATCTATACTACTAAAGTTCTTCTGTAGGTTCCAGGTCAGGCAGGGGATATTCCTCTCTATTCCATTCCTAGCTATGCTTTGGGATTCTGACCAATTCAAAGACAAGGCCTGTCCCTTCTGTCCATCATGCCCATGCATGTGAGTGTTGGCTATGGAAGAACAGAACAAAACCCTCTGGGGTCTGTGCTGCCTGATTGGAAGCAACAGTGGAGCCTTGGAGATGTTGCTATGGCAGGACTCATATCTGGGGCTGAGCATCAAAGAGGCAAAATGGCCAGCTATTTTTTTTAAATTTTTATTAGTGAAACACCATGAGGTACAGTTGTAGACTTACAAATTTTTGTGCTTGGATTTCAATTATACAATGATCAAGTACCCATCCCTCCACCAGTGCCCATTTTCCACCACCACGGATCCCAGTATCCCTCCCACCCCCCTCCATCCCCCCTGTCCCACCCTGGCCAGATATTGTTGGCCTGACTCTGGAAAGCAAGCTTTCCAAATGTTTTGCCTCAGCCTTCTCCCTGGCTTTTTTGCCACCAAGAGAATGCAGCAGACATAAATAAAATAGTAATCCAAAGGCTCTGAGTTCAATAGAATAAAAATTAAGAAGAAAGTTGATCAGATAGACAACCACACATTATGGGAGAGAAGAGTTTGGTAATGAAGATGATGTTACTACAATTAATATAATATATATGTGACTGCTGTTATGTATAACAGCAGTAATAATACCCATCCAAGTTTTCACGTATTCAAAGTCTTATGTATATATAATTTAATTCTTGAATTCAGAAATCTGGGTTGAATGAGTTATGAGGTTTTAATTCACTTAGCACTTAGGAGTGGATTAAAGGGTAAATGTAGTTGTTTGTAAATAACTACATTCTGACTGTGGCCAAAATGTTTGCCAACAATAGTTCCATGTTTAAAGAAAGCAGGACCTGGGGTGTGCCTTATGACATAAAGCACATGTATTGTATGTTCAAGGCCCTGGATTTCATTCCCAGTCCCCCATGGTCCCTGATCCCTTACTCCACTCCAAACATCAGTGAGAGTAGTCCTGTTGGTTCCCAAGCATCACGAGGATAACAACCAACAAAACAATCATTTTAAAGAGTAGAAAACTTGCATCTTCATAGGGTTCATGGTGTTCTTTTGTCCTGGCTATTCCTCAGTTTTAGAGTGGAGCGTTGAGACTGGAACAGAAATACCCACCTCACTTGAATGAAACTTGCTATTGCTAGATGGCCCAAGTATTTTCACCAAGTATTTCACCAAGTGCTTAGTGTGAACAAGTGTAAGATGTCACTTCCCTGTGAGGGGAGAGGGAAGCTTGCCCCCTTGAGTGACATTTTTTAATATATTTAGCATCAAAAACTTGAATCAGAAATAACACCATTTTGATTTTTTCTTTTCAAGGTATAAAGTTAAGAGTTGTATTTGGCTACCTTTCAATGTTACCTTGTCTTAATGATTGCTAAATTTGGGGCCAAGAAGCCTCTAATCTATGACCAGACTCTAGTTCTCACAAAAGAATCATTGTGCTGTTGACCAAACACTTGAAAGCCAGGGCCAGGAAGTAGGTTCCTGGGCCCTCAAAGGGGGACTCTTATTGCCGTCACCTTTGGTGTCATTTTTGTTTTATTTTAACAAAGAGAGTTAAGACTCAGGTACAGCAGCTTCCTTAAAGTCTGTACCTTAGAAAGCAGTGCTTATCGTTGAGGATTTTCTCTTGAACATGAAATCAAAGCACGAGCTTCCAGTAGCACAGCGTCACGAGCAGGCAACTGTCTAAGACCATTTCTGCAGGGAGAGAGAGACTTCAAAGGTGACGGACACAGATACCCATGTCAGTGACTGCCAGAGCTGCACAGGCACACGAGCCATTCCTCCATTTGTTTTGTTTTGTTTTGTTTTGGGGGCCACACTTGGTTAGGCTCAGCACTTGCTCCTGACTGCTCAGGAAGTGCTCCGAGGACCATAGGTGGTGCCGGGAATCAAACACTGGTCATGTGTGTGCAAGGCAAGCGCCTTACCATATCTCTCTGGCCCTCTTTTCATTTAAAAATGTTCTCTGATGGCCTCCTGGCCAGACCTGATTCCTTACCTGATAAAATGATGGTAAGAACAGATGTTTGCTTTTCCTTTTGTCATTCTTTCCTTTCTTTTCTCAAGAAGCTCTTCGTTGAGAAGTTGGTTTTCATTTATGTTGATGTAAGTTAACTTTATCTCCCTTCTTCATTCCATATTTATTTATTCATTTACTTTTGTTTCTTGGACCACACCTGGTAGTGCTCCAGGATTACTCCTGGTTCTGTGCTCTGAGATCGCTTTTAGCAGGGCTTGGGGTACCATATGGGGTTCCGGGGATCAAACCCAGGTCAGGTACCATGTAAGACAAATTGCTGTGCTATTGCCCTGGCTTCATCCTTCAATATTTCTCAAGTGTTTTAGGATTCAGGTATTCAGTGATAAAATCTGAAAAATACTATCTGAGTTCATGTAGCTTACACAAGTTAGGGGCTAGAGAGATGGTACAGTAGCTAGGTGTTCCTCCTGCTCACAGCTGACCTGGGTTCAATCTCCAGCACCATTTAGGGTTCCCAGGCACTGCCAGGAATGAACCTTGAGCAAACAGCCAGAAAGAAGCTGGGTGTGTCCACAAATCAAAACACATTCATTAATTACTATTTGATGTATTAATGAATAAAGGGCATGATATTACTAGGAAGAAATTCAAAGTGCAAAGAGAGATTGTAATCAGCAACATAAGATTTATGTGGTCAGATAATACTTTCGAGAAGAGGGACTATGTAAGGTGATTCCTGAAGAGAAAATTGGGACTGGAAAGAGTCCAGCTAGGTGTGAAGATCATGATGTCAGAGATCATGACCCCTTGTTTCCTCTTGTCTCCTTTCATTCCTTGGAGGAACTCTGCCAAGTTATCTCAATATTACCTGAGCTCATAGAAACAGCTGTTTCTGCCATCAGAGACTGTGCCACATCCTTGACTTGGTTCTAATATATATATATATCCAGGATATAATTTATTATTTTATAAGCTATGGTCATTTTATTTATATATATTTTCCATTGAATCTCCATGAGATACACAGTTAGATGGTTATTCACGAATGGGTTTCAGCCAATGTCCCAACACCTGTCCTTTACCAGTGTACAATTCCCACTACCATTATTCCCAGTTTCCCCCCACCCACCTAACTCTGTGGCAGATGTTTTACTTCTGTCTTATTTATGTATTTTATGATTTATTATTTTATTATTATAACTGATTACAATAGTGTCAATGATTATGATATTCTTGTACAAAGTTACTGCATCTCTCCACCACCAAAGTATCCAATACTTTACTTAGAGTCCAGAACTTTACTCCATGTTCCCTGCTGCTTGATAATCTGAGTTTTTGTCTTTCAAAAACAAGGGTTTGCCACTGTTTGATGTGTCTCTTTCCTTCTTTTGTCTCTCCATATACCACCAATGTGTGAGATCATCTGTCGATTGTCCTTCTCCCTCTGACATTTTTGTTTTGTTTTTCTGGCAGCATCTGGTGGTGCTCAGGGCCTCCTCCTGACTCTGCACTCAGGGATCACTTCTGGCAAAGCTCAGGGGACCATGTGGGTGCCAGGGATCGAAACCAGGTTTGCCACAGTCAAGGCAATCACGCTGTACACTCCCTCTGACCCTTCCTGACTTAGACTGCTTAACATTGTACCCTCTCGGATACTTTTTTTAATAGGCACTGTAGCACTGTCCTCCCGTTGTTCATCGATTTGCTAGAGCGGACCCATAACATCTCCATTGTAAGACTTGTTGTTACTGTGTTTGGCATATCGAATATGTCATGGGTAGCTTGCCAGGCTTGGCCGTGTGGGTGAGATACTCTCGGTAGCTGGCCGGGCTTTCCGAAAGGGTTGGAAGAATCAAACTCAGGTGAGACAGGTCGGCCGCATGCAAGGCAAATGCCCTACCCGCTGTGCTATCACTCAAGCCCATTTATTTATTTATTTATTTATTTATTTATTTATCTATCTATCTATTTTTATTAGTGAAACACCATGAGGTACAGTTGTAGACTTACAATTTTTTGTGCTTGGGTTTCAGTTATACAATGATTGAGCACCCATCCCTCCACCAGTGCCCATTCTCTACCTCCAATGCTCCCAGTATCCCTCGCACCCTCCCCATCTCCCCCATCCCACTGCACCCCTGTGGCGGGGCATTCCCTTTTGTTTTCTCTCTCCTTTGGGTGCTGTGGTTTGCAAAAGAGGCATTGAGTGGCAATCATGTTTGGTCTATAGTCTACTTTCAGCATGCACCTCTCATCCTGGGAGGATCCTCCCAAAACCCTTTCTTTGGTGCTCCCTTCTCTATCTGAGCTGCCTTTTCCCCTAGTATGTGTGGCTGGCCTCCAAGCCATGGAGTGAACCTCCTGGTA